ACGCGTCACTTCCAGGAGGTGTTGGTGTCACAGGAGGAAGGGACCATAGCGGAGGATAGAAAGCTTGCGCAGGAAAGGAAGGTCCCGGCGGTTGACGGGGGACTAATCTGGTATATAAAACACTATCGAAATGGACTATGCTTCAAGGGAGAAAAAGGCTCTCTTCTCCCAACGCTTAGTCCATCGGCTCCCACGAGGTCATAGCAGTGGGCTTCGTTTCTAACGTATATTTCGCGTCTACCGCATTCAAAAAGCTTTCAAAAACTCCGACTAGCTTTGCACCAGAAACTGCACAAAACTAAAGGTAATGTGGTTTGGCACAATATTCCTTGAATTAGTAATTTCTTGTAAAGCTCAATTATTCAATGAATGCATCGTTTTTTGGCATTCAGTCGATCAGAACGTAATTTTGGGTATACGAAGCCTACATTTAAACCAGACCATTCAACCTAGAGCAAACCTTTTCGTGAATTTTCTCATGGGAATGTTCATACGAGATTCTATAATATTTAACTCGTCCGTGATCTGCATAACTTACTTGTATGTATGTAATGGATCTTGACTGCGTTGCTTCATAACAGCACTTTTCGGGACGCTTAATCCCTTCATTATCGTGATAGACAACCCATTTTTCTGTACATTCCGACAAGCAGGGATGCATTGCATTCTTCTGTCGCTGTACAAGTCTGTGCCGAGTTCGCGTTCCACCAAATACATAGTGAGAGCTGGGAAATCGCCGAATGGTCTGCTAGAGGAACATCCTCATCTACGACACCCCTTCCACCCTTTTTTCGGTCACAATCTACTTAAAACCTTATCAAGTTTCCTTGAGCAGACTTTCAGCGAATTTCACACCATTACTCTCAAGAAGGCAGAAATTTGACGTCGTTAAGTAGATTTTTGTACTGCTCGTTTTCGGTATGCTGACTGAATGTCTATTGACTCTCTTTTTGCCAAAAGGTGTGCACATCCTCCATCCCAAAGGGTGCTGTCTGCTCTACTGATAGGTGTAGCTTTTGTACTGGGAAGTTCAAAAGATCACGCCCCAACAAATACACCTCCCAGCGCTCAGTCAACCTACAGTTCAATGCAAAGAGCTTCCGTGTCAAGAGCTGTTTTGTGATTTCTTTCTTTTTAATGCTAAATCTGTTTTTGTAACCTTTCGCTAAAATCCCCTCTCTGGACACAGTGTCTTATCTACGGAGTTTTCGAGGAAGTAATTTCCTATAGCCGGCTCCCATAAAAATCTTCTGTAAACATCGACAGATTATGATAATACTGTTCGTCTCACACCGACGCATTTACAGCTCAGGGCTTACTGAACTCGGAGATCGCGAGTGTTGTGGTGAAGGTGTGGGTGAAGATAAGCCATGGAGCATCCTGTTCACACTTTTGCACTTCCACGGAAATAATTACACAGTGCACTGGAACCTGGTATCATAAAAGTGTGCGGCTGAATGAGAATTCCTCTACTATGCATAGAATGTTTTTGGTCCTAAGGATTTAGAGGATAGAGGAAAGAGCCACATTTAGTTAAATCGGCAACGGATGCTTAGAATACATGGGAAAAGCCTTGGCGGGGTTAAACTTCTTTTCGAGCAACTGAGAAATTTTGTATCTTCTGGGGGAGAGATAATACGGAACTCGAAAAGTTTCTAGTTCCGGCCAATTATCTAGATGATCAGGTAGCCCTATCCTTTCTCTCTCACTCCCATTTCTTGCAAGATAGACACATGGGTAGATGTAGGGCCAATATTGGTGTGTTTACTGGATGAGGTTGGAGGTCGGGACTAGGGATGGCGGAGACAAAAAGTGACATGGCCATACCTGGCCGATAGAAAGTCGTATTTATTCGCGCCCCATTTGGTAAGTAAAGTATTATTACCTTAACTTGCCCACTCCTCCGAGACTGGCTGGACTTTTTATCGCTTATTCTTCCTGACTGGAGTTCGCAACGGAAAGTTGCCCTGAGAATAATTCGGCCCATAGAATTGATTACCGCCTCTTATAGTGAAAACGCCTGGCGCCTTCGTCACAAGTGCTGGCGTCAAATGGTGCCAGAATACCTACACATGATCACCAAATTTGCTGAAAACTTGTTGTCTAGGGGGGTAGTTTGGACCCGTAGAACATGAATATCACACGTCGTTGGCAGTGTTGGCTTGAAGGCTGCGATACGGGATGTGCGCCACAAACTTATGTGGCAGCGCTAAGCGTTTTCGTGCCAAACTGTGATCTACGAGTCCTATGGATGATTACCATAAAACGACTTCCTAGCCAAACCTTTGGTCATGGAAAAATTTCAATTAAGTTGCGGCTCCGTTTTTGAGGAGTGGGGTAGTAAAGGGTAGTGGTGTCAATTTTTTTTACTACCTGCCCTCCCTAGTGGCTTTTACCGCACAACGAAGTACAATGAAATTTCAAGGTAAGGACCCCTTGTTAGGCGTTAATCACGGATGACACAAAGTTAGATTCCTGCTTTAGAGACAGTCAAGTCCATAATCAAATAAACGTCAACGAAGGTGTGAATGGTGTGCTCTCCAGTGAGAGGTTGATGCTATGGAACGTAAAAGTACTGTTAGCGTCTCTACCGAACTAATTAAAGGCCTAATAATACCGATCGGCTTCTTGATTTTTCTAATGTTGCTGCAATACTTAAGAAGTGAGATTTATTCACATATTTCAATAAAGAAGCTCTGTCTACACTGAGAATTTGTACAAATTTTGAGCTTATGCTCGGCGGAAATGTCGGGCTACTTTTCTTCGGGACACCACGAACTTTCTCTGCATTTTCCTGTAAGGCGACGTCTGGGAATATCCTCCGGCTGCAAAAAGGTTTTGTTAAAACGCAATCTTTTCCTGCAATATTATTCTCAAGTTGGTAAACACTTCAAAAATGTACTTACACGCTGGTGGACTGATTGGCGGTGGAGCGACTCCGCCGCTGTAGCTACCTGAGGGTGGCTGTGGGGGTTGGTAACCTCCTGATGGAGGCTGAGGTGATTGGTATCCTCCCGCAGGTGGTTGTGGTGGTTGGTATCCACCTGCTGGTGGTTGTGGTGGTTGGTATCCACCTGCTGGTGGTTGTGGTGGTTGGTATCCACCTGATGGTGGTTGTGGTGCTTGGTATCCACCTGCTGGTGGTTGTGGTGGTTGGTATCCTCCTGATGGTGGTTGTGGTGGTTGGTATCCACCTGCTGGTGGTTGTGGTGGTTGGTATCCTCCTGCTGGTGGTTGTGGTGGTTGGTAGCCCCCTGATGGTGGTTGTGGTCCTTGGTACCCTCCTCCTGATGGGGGACTAATGGGTGCTGGTGGAGCTGGCATAGGTGGCGGCGGCATTGGAGCACTTGGCTGGTAGCCCATAGGTGCAGTTGCGTAGCCTGGAAGTAGGTATTCGAGAAAATCCGTCGGAATATACATCAGCTTAATTTTCAACTTACCTCCACCGCCGCCTCCGTAACTGCCTCCTCCTCCTCCTCCTCCTCCTCCGCCTCCGCCGTAGCTGGGAGCAGATGAGTAGCTGCCTCCGCCTAAAATACGAGTTCTCAAGTTTCTTGTACAACTTTTTATGCGATATTTTTCACATTGGAAAGAGAAAATCAGGGTGTCACAAAATCTTACCTCCACCTCCTCCGCCGGCATATCCGCCTCCGCCACCACCGCCGGCATAGCCACCTCCTCCTCCACCGCCTCCACCGTATCCACCAGCAGATGCATACTGGCTGCAATAACATCAATAGATTTTCAAGCAGATTCTAATAAGAACTTATAAAATATTACCAGTAAATCGAGACGAGCAGTGCTGCTACGCAGAAGCCTCTCATTGTGATGAGATGAGGTGCCCTGTGTTGTTGGTAGAGTGGCAGCTTCTTCGCTTTTATAAGCTCTTCGTAAGGTCATTCGGTAACAATCAAGTTTTCCGTGGACAAAATGCTAATAGTAAGGCGGTGCCCAAGGGTGTTATTCAATGCTTAACCTTGACGCAAACTATTTACCGTCGCCGTGCATTGTGTGCGCGCCGGAAAATAGCGCCGGGCGTAATTTGTTCACGGGTTACATTGTGGTCTGATTGATGGAGACAGTAAGGCGATACACTGCGCTCAAGTGTTTTCTCCGAACAGCGTTCAATCGTGCGAATGATGTCAATAGCGACGAGGGGTTTTTGCCCATATTTCTATCGAATTGCTTTGTTGACTTTGAACGGATCGTTTGGGGAGGTTAACACAGTCAAATATTTGGCACCTGTTTACTTTTTATTTTTAAATATCAAATTATATTTGAATTAATTAATTTTTCAATTTTCCAATATTTTATTTATACCCTATATTTATTCGACAAAGCATGGGGCCTATCAAAAAGTAGTTGTTTGCGTACTGGATAATGCTAATATTGCAATTATTTCCATTTAAATGTGTACTAGTATGTATTAAAAAATTAAAATTAAAGTTATATTTTGTGTTAGTTTTTGTGGCTTTCGAGGTTGGTCGGTGGAACATTTATTAAAGTGGCCCAACGTTCGACTTGATCGTCGAAGGCCCTGGTTCCACCATTTGTGCGAAGAAATCGGCTACCGCATTTTAGCGTTAACTATTAGCAAGACCCTAATAAAATAATGCTATATGCGGTGAGTCCCTTCTGAAATTAAAGCATTCAAAGTAAGATCAAATCTTAAAATGAAAATAAAACAGATACTGTAACATGTTATATGAGTTTTATTTTATTTAAAATATATATATGAGTAAATAATTATAGGCAATAATATGACATATTTAATATTTATTTTTCAGTTGAATAAAAACTTGTAATCTTCTTAGGAGCGGTGTGTGGAGCAATGCGGACAGGGCCGCCACAGAAACAGTGAGTGTGATCAGAGCTGTATCATTCCTTGAGAAACAGTAATCACTTGCCTTGGTTCTGGGTAGCCTACGCAGTATCTTCAGAGCGATGAGCCTGGTCTGAAGCCTAGTCTGGGCTGACACACATTTTATTACACTACTTGCAGATTCAAAAGCAGTCGAACACGTAGGGCAGCCAGAGCGGATCGATTGGTAGGCGATCGATTCTATGGGATTTTTTAAGGTCTTTGGGCAGTAAACTAACTGAAAAGATTCTTTAAATCTCACGTCACCATAAACAAGGCTTTAGCCAGGACATTTTCCACGACATAGAGCACTATTCAAAACGGTTTTTTGTAGGGAACCTGCGTGGGGAAGAACCTTTTTAAGTGACTATAGGAATGCTAAAAATATATAGAAACAGATGGCTCGTAGGTTCGAGTTCTCACTGGAAGGCCGAGATTTTTTTTCGGCTTCACTTTAGGTTACTGCTAAGCATTCACTGGTCTATAAACGCTTCAATTTGGTATTCTATTCACGCTACAAATGCTTACGAGACATCTTTACGACATGTGAGGTTTCAACTTTTGTCGGCAATCCGTGGGCCAGCATAGAGACAATCGCCATCAGTTTCATTCTCAAGCGCCTATAACACGCCAAAATCGTTTAAAAAAGAAGCTCACTCATGAGATTACTTTTTCATTGCCAACCACCAGAACCTGCCTGGCGTATAATGCCCTGAGTCATGGAAGCTGCCTGCCTTCCAGTGTCAACTCACCTGGAGAGAAGCCTGGGTGGGTTGTAAATGCTGTACAGACGACAACCCTTGATTCCCGCAATGTAGGAGGAGTTCGTATACGCAGTTCTGAAAGGATAATTGTAACTTGGCATTTAACGCCCTGCAAAAATTAGGGATGTAGTGATGGAAGTGGCAGCACGGCTGTCTAAGAAAGGCCCGATACGTGCCCTATGCAAGGTAAGAGTGGCAACCGCCCCCCCCTACCACAAAGGGTTGCATGGCATTACATTCTACTACATTTCCATTCAGAGCCGTAGTGTGTAGTATTTGAATGGGACTACAGGGGAGGCAATAAAACAAAGACATTTTGTCTTCACATTAGGATTTAATGACACTTTGCTCAATTCGAACCGAATGTTCTCAACTTACTATTGAAAAGCATATTTTTTTATAGGCTAAGTCTTTTGTGATACCGTGTCCACTTAGTGGCACCTAGCTGGACGGCATCCCGAAGATTTTGCTGGCCGGAAGGGAGTGTAGATGGGCAATGGTTGAGCTCAATGGGTTCCGAAGGATCCGATTGTACCATAACGACCTTACTGGACCGAGTTCGTCGAGAGGAATGGATCGTATGTGGCGAGCCAGGGTCTCTAAAGCATTTTCTCCCAACTGCGAATTCACGAAATTTTTTAAGAATGACTTCAGCTGGACAGCAGTAACGGTGTCCTGCTTGGAGCTTGACGACGATGGACAAGCTACGTCATATTCTGAGTCAGCGACGCAATCCTCTGCGCAGAACAATAGGGGCCGAAGTGCGAAATGTCTTTTGTCGCCGCCACCCCCTCCCCGTATGTTTTGCCGAGGTCATACTATACACAAGTCAGTTTTGTTAATATTATTTCAAACGAGTTTGGTACCGATTTGATCAGTCCTTCTCGAGTGATGAAAATTTGTGGCACTTGGTAGGATTCGATCCGAATCTCTTTCAAGCGCATTAGTATTCCTAAACGATTGTTTGAAGGACGCCCCAAGATAAAGTAAAGGGAAAACACCTCAAAGAAGGTGCGTGAAGTGGACTGCTCTGTAAAGAGAGGAAAGCGAGTTTGACTCGGAGCTAGGGTCAACAAAACTTCCCGAAGGGAACTGCTGTAAGACGGGGTTCATATGGGCTGTCCGCGGCTGGTGGCAGGCGCAGCTTCCTGAGCCTAACGGACGCGAGGTACAGGGTAGGTGCCAAAGAAAGAAGAGCTGAAATTTTCGTACGAGAAAGTATGGAGGTATGTTCTGGCTCAAGAGTTGGTCTATTGAATTTGGAGTCAAAATCTGAGCGAGACAGACAGTTGCAGACAGACTAAGCAGGTGTCACACTTTGTGACTGATCGCTAGCGATTTGCGCTGTTGCAGCGATGGCTCATAAAGTTTGACACTTCCCTAACCAGGAAAGAATGATGGGTAGGAGAGGCCATATGCTGGGACCTATACTGTTGAATGTATTTTTGGACGATGATCTCGAATCTGCTTTCCAAACCTACCAATCTATTTTTCGAAAGGAGTTATGAGGCAAAATAGAACAGGGGTAGTGGTCCGGGTTCACGGGCAAGAGGTCGTAGAATCAATTTTCTGGCGGGTTCTCCTTTTGCCTTCGCAGCAACTGTTTGAAAAAGGCTCCCAACTAAGCTTACTTGATCAACGCTTGCCTGTAGTTACCCGTGCAAAGACTTTGCGAGGAGTTTCTAATCAGTTTGGGCGGTACTTACTAAAGACTGCACATGGAGCCCACAGAACTCTTGGCAGACGTTTTTGCAGCAGAACAGGTGTGATATTCGTGTTTCGGAGATAAAAATACCCCTAGGACATTTTTTAGCCAAACCTCCCGTCAGGGAATCGATACTACGGCCTGTGAGCTCGGACCACAACCGCTGCTCTATTTTGCTTCATAACTCCGTTCAGAAAATCGACTAGCAGATTCGAAAAGCAATTCGAGATCTGCTCCAAATGCAGTGTGGGTCCTATCGCTATGGACGCTTCGACCTGTGATCCTTTCCTGGTTAGAGGCACGTCGAAGTTGGATTTTACCGAGAAGAGGAAGCGGAGAGGTCGAGGGAAACGTAGGCACTAGCGCATTTGTGGCGGTGTGACTGAAATTCAGCAATATGGCCGGAGCTCTAGCTGAAACGCCCCTGAAAACTTTACATCTTCCTAGTCACGAAATTAGCACCATCTTGTGCTTGCGAACCTAACTACTCCATCCACTGAGCAGGTTGTTCCCCTCAGCCCTTTCGTGAAATGTGCTTTGAGTAGGAAAACATCAACTAAAAGCACAACTGGGCAGAAATTGCTGAAGAACTGATGTCATTATTCTTCAGAATGGAGAAAGGGCTATTTTCAACGACAATGCAAAATCGTTTTTGCGCCTCCTTAAGTCCCTTGTCCTGGAAATTGATGTAATTGCAGCGACAGCTGAAGCCAAAGCGCTTTTGGTAGGCGGCAGCGACAGCTCTTCAACGCTCAGGCGTTTCCGATTCCTCATTAAGTATTCTTGCTTCTTCCGTATACGGCTTGGCATTTCCTCTTTATCAGCAGGTCTTCTATTCTGCTTAGTACCGCTCAATATTCCTATTTTTCCTCACTTCCTACTGCTGAAAAGTATTACCGCGATTACGAACTTTTTTCATCTGTTCGTCTGCACTTCGTTTCCTCGAATTAATTACACCTGCTTGCAGCTTCTGAGCACTTAAGCTATTTAAATTCTTTGCAAGTCAGCTTAATGATTTTCCGTTTTTAATTTGGTATTCTACAGTAACCCATGAGAAATGTCATTCACTTCAGCAGGGTAATCCTGTACGAGAAGCACAGTTGAGGTCAATGAGAACCTTTATAATGCGCCACATTTCCTCCCGGCTTTCATTTGGAGTACATGAACTGCTAAATGTAGGGCATCTGCGGTGGCCAGAACTGTGCTAGTATTGTCACCGTCTCTCGAGGTCGATGAGTTTCAGCACTACTCAGAGCATTCTTGATGTGCAGAGGATACTAGGGGAGACCTACAACATGCGAAGTTCTTCTCTAACCCACGCCACAAACGTTCCTGAACAAGTCTTCCTTGTTGTCTGGCACACAGCCAAGTGCCCTCTTCTACATTAGTTAGGAAGCGAATATGTGGCGCGATCTGAAGGCATTGATTTGTTGGATTAGCAAATTCGGGACACTATATAGATTCGCGTAGTTACTGTTTGTTTATGCTGGAATCTCCTTAATCCTAGAAAAAGCTGTAACAGTAGAAAGGAGTTGTTGCAACAATCCCGTCAGAATCGCCAGACCCAGATTCCCAAATTTGGCAAAAGTGTTCGAAGAAGATGCTGAAAAGCTGTCGAAATTCGTCTTCATAAACTATTTCATTCACGGAAGGGGATCTGGCCCGAAAATTCCGACAA